TGTCGATAATCAGAGTACATTGGTGAGCATTAACCAAACTCACTCTATCGCTATTTTGTATTTATTATGGGTTTAGTTTCGGTATCTACATAACCAGTGTATTTTTTTCACAGAAAGACATTAAAAGTTAATCGAATATATTATACAGCCATGAACCCATAAACAAACAAAACAAACTTTTGGGGGAAATCGTTTCTCTTTGCTAACCTTTTTCCAACCGCATGGCATTATTTGGTTTCAAAACATGATGTACACTCATCACAATGGATTCTCATTGTTAAGTGCATCACGTGCATTTTATTTTCATCTCACAGCAAGCAACAGCAAAGTAGGAGGGATAACTATCATGTAACCTTTTGCAACAAAATGCAAATATCTAAAATCCGAAAAAGTCATATTTCTAAATGAAAGGAGTCTGACCAATGCTGAACAAAGGCCTATAATATTACCACGATAACACTATAACATAACCAATTATCTCTACTATCAGAAGACTAAGAACACATTTCTGTTCATTATGATTAAATAAATATTTCAAACACAGATACATATTTTGCACTCTAGAGGATACATAGAGCTAGATATGTATTTATACATTTAAAAAAATGTATACATGTATATATATTTGATAAGGCACTCTAATGGAACATGGTTGCAACTCCGAGTTTCACGCCTTGCGAGCGATCATCAGGCAACTGGTAACATGGGGGGGGGGGGGGGGATCGCAAAATTGCGATACCCCCCCCCCCCCCATGTTTAAAATTCCATCGCAGTACCTGAACAATTACAATAACCCCTTCACCCATGAGTAAATCTTATTGTTTTGTTTTGTATTGTATTGTATTAGTTAAGTCTTAATTTGAACGTATTGTAGATTGTAGAGTAATCATGCTACCAGTTGCCTGATGATCGCTCGCAAGGCGTGAAACTCGGAGTTGCAACCATGTTCCATTAGTCTGCCTTATCCAATATATATTTTGCTCTGCCCATAGGCATTGAGCACTGTACGGAGGAATAGACCAACTCTAAGTATACATGTATATATATATATATATATATATATATATATATATATATTTTATATAAAATGTCAAAAAGAAGTATACAAGAATCCCACTCAAAATTAAATTACCGTCATATTAGAATCCAGGGGTCCGCCTTAGGGCCCTAGGCGGGATCCAGGGGGCAGATCCCCGGAAACTCAGGGGTTTTAGGCATTTGATTACGGTCAGATGAACATATTTTTACCCCGGCCCCTCCCCTCAGTGTTATTTAGGGTACGCATATGCATGTTCCCTTCTTTTGAAAACACCCCTTAAGTCCGGTGTGAAAAGTCTTTTTTGTGTATGTACGAGCCGGACTTTGGTGCGTGAAAAGTACCCCTTTACCGGACATTTTAGTAACACGCATGGTATCCCTCCGTTCACGGAGTGGGGGGGGGGGGGGGGGGGGATTTTTTATACCTTATTTGTGACACTGGCAGGACACTGATTGGCGTGGGGTCCAGCGGGCGGAGCCCCCAGAAGCTCAAGGGTTAGATGAGTATCAAGGGGCCCGCCTTAGGGCCCTTGGTTGGGTCCATGGTGGCAGAGCCCCCGGAAGCTCAGGGGTTTTAGGCGTTTATTACGGTCAGATGATCATTTTTCGATATCTTAATTTATCACTGGCAGTTAACTATTCTTTCTTTCTTGCTCTTTTTCTTTCATATTTTTGTTTTGAATGATATTTTATTTCCTTCCTCATAATTTCACATAACAAGAAATTCACATAACAAGAAATTATCAAAATAAGCAATATAAAACAAGATCTTTGATACAAGACACTTCATAAGTTACATCAATCAATGAACATAGAAAAAAAATATAAAAAATTCTTGCATGTAACAGTGTATAATAAAAATAACAGTAGAGGAAGGTTTAAAGTGTAGATTTTTTTTTGTTTTAAATGATATTTGATTTCCTTCCTCATAATTTCACATAACAAGAAATTCACATAACAAGAAATTATTAAGATAAGCAATATAAAACAAGATCTTTGATACAAGACATTTCATAAGTTACATCAATCAATGAACATAGAGAAAAAAAAAGGAAAAAAAAAAGTCTTGCATGTAACAGTGTATAATCAAAATAACAGTAGAGGAAGGTTTAAAGTTACATATTACCATCCTATCACAACACTCTCACACCCCCCCTCCCCTCTAGCCCACCCACACCACCTTTCACACACATAAACACACATACAAACACACACTGCATGCAACCTGTTCCCTCAACTCACACCACACAAACTCTTAACCCCCCCCCCCCCCCCCCCCCTTTTGCCCACCCATCTCATCATACCCCCTTCACGCCGACACACACACTGCATGCAACCTGTTCCGGTTTGTCCACCTGTACACGAGAGAGAATTAATAATACTAATAAATAATAATAATACCCACATCCATTAAAGTAAAAATGCATCGATTTGTTCCCATTTCTGTAAGTGCATCCCCAGTTTCCCCTTTTTAAAGGCCATTTTGTATTCCTCGTCTCTGTAATTTTTAAGCATATGTACTGTTTTCTGTACAGATGGCAAAGTTCCTTCTTTTCTAGAAATAAAAATGATATACTTTACTAAAAATATGATACAATTTATTACAAATATTCTCGCAGTATTGCCGGATATTCCCATAAAAATGGGTTTCCAATCATCAATGTCAATTTCGATTAAATGTAACTTTTGAATTACCTCCTGCCATAATCTTTTAACTTTAAGACAATCTAAAAATAAATGTTGGTATGTCTCTACTTCTAGTCTACAAAAGGAACAAAAATGGTCTGACTCAAAACCAAATTTAAAGAGCTCTCTTTTCGTATATACAGCCCCTTGTAATTGTTTGTATTGAAACTCTCTATGTTTATTACAAAGCATTGCACATTTCATCCTTGTGAATGTTTCTTTCAACTCCGTCATTCCAAGATCAAATTGACAGTTGCCATCTGTAACATGTAATGTATACTCTTGTTGAAGGTCTTCAGTGAAGTAATCATATAACCGCCTAGATTTTATATCACATAGTTTCTGTAAACGTCCAAATATCATCAATTCTATTTCAAAATTTTCAGTGTCCACTTCCATAAAATCGCTTTGTATCCAATCGTTTCTAATTGCTGAAAAGATCTTCATATGGCTCCGTTTAGTCTCATTTCACGACGCCCTCTATCGTCAGAGCATGGTCAGCGTCAGCAGCCTAACATGTTAGCCTATGGACGTTTTTTTTAAAAAATCTTTAAAAATTCATTTTTTGTTTAAACGAAAAGCACATCCACCCCGACGTACGTTATCACTAGCTCTTTCATTTGAGCCCACATGTCTCATTGACTTTTGAAAGTTCACCCACCGTAATTTTTCAAAATAGGTTGCAAGCTCGTCATTGCCTATAATACACATGTGAAACAAGTCTAACTTTGGACTCAGTTTACCAAGCGATTTGAAGATTATAGGTCGAGCACACGAAACATAAAACGCATGAATTATCATAGATCACTTCTGCCTATTTCATTATGTCCATTTCATCCAACCCCCCACCGTAATTTTTCCATTTAGTAAAAGCAAACATTTTGCCGAGTTTAGCAAAAACATGAATATTCATGAACGGTCAGACAATACAAAAAAGGTACTGTTCGATGTTTGCAGCAGCATGAATGATCACGTTACTATGTGAGGAATGTTGCGCATAAAGGCCCATCAAGGGATGTAAATAACATTAAGACATGCATTAAACTGCTATTGGAGTGCGGTGACAAGCCTGAGATCCCCACTTTTGTTGCCAAGGATTTGGACAGGCTACCTCCTGTTGGGTTTGACAACCTAGATGTCTCAGCTCTGCTAGGGCGGCTGCTAAATTAGCTGGAAAGTGAAATGGCCGACATGAAGCAGTCTGTGCAGTCCCATGCGAAAGCTGCTGAAAATCTTCAGAACATGGCTGTAATCATGGACACACGAATGACGGATGTAGAAGTAAAGGCAGTTGCGCAAACACCAGGGTCAACGTCAATAAACTTCCCAGACTTAGGTGCAACGTTGGATGCTGCTGCTGCTCCTGCCCCAAAGCCTCAACCCAACAGTCCTGATCACACTCCCTGGAATCAGGTGGTGCGACGAGGCGGTAAGATGAAGACTCCCCCCGTAGGAGGCGATCCTTCTAGGCCAGCGCAAGTGCTCCATACTCCAAGGCAACCAAAGAGGAAGCCTGGTATTGTGGGGAAAGCCAGCTCAGGGCGGATTCAAGCTGTGCAAACAAAGCTTGTTAATGTATTCGCCACGAGATTTGACCCTGAGCTGGATGCCGACACGCTAGGAGATTTTCTCAAGGAGAAGATAAATGACACTGTTACTTGCAATAAAATTGTTACAGAAAGATCCAGATTTGGATCTTTTCATATCTCAGCAGTCTGTAAAAATGTAGCGGATATGTACGACCCGGATGTGTGGCCGGAAGGAGTTTTTGTGAGGAGGTATTACGAGCCTCGCAAACTTCAAGCTTCCCTGCCTGGTGCAGAGTCTCTGCGGAAAGTCAGAAAGCTTGAGCACTCTACCCCAGTGCCTGCTGGCACAGTTAATGCAGATCGTGGGGATGATAAGCTGGAGTCTTAACTTTATTTATTAACTTTCAATTTAGTTAGTTACAATACTCGAGGTCTACACCTAGGACAGAGTGATGCTGACAAAAGTAGGCGCTTAGTAGTTGAACATTTATTCCGGGATAATTTTGATATCATATGCTTGGCTGGCTAAACAGGACTTGAATGGCATTAATGTTTTACACCCTCAATATCATGGAATAGGAGAATCCACAACTGATCTCAATGATAGACTGATCCGGGGCCGCATACCAGGAGGTGTTGCTATCCTGTGGCATACTAAATATGAACACTTGATTAGTGAGTTAAGACTTGATGTATATTGGGCAGTAGGTATAGAAATTAATTATGGGAATAAGAAATTTGTTATTATTAATATATACACTACTTATGAGTGTCCGGAAAATGAAAGTGATTATCTTGAGAAAATAGCATTTATTGCGGCGGTTATTTTTGAGCTGGACACCACCAGTGTTTATGTGGTAGGTGACTGGAACGCAGACATATCTGATAATAGTTCTTTATTTGGAAATCATTTGAGCCAATTTTGTTGTGATAATAATTTTGTGTTATCAAGTCTGCATTATTTACCTGCACATAGTTACACTTATGTTAGTGAAGCATGGCATACCACGTCATGGTTGGACCATTGTATATGTACAGCAGATGCTAATGCCTCTATACAGAAGATGGAAATTATGTATAAATTTGCTACAACTGATCATATTCCTATTAATTTGACAATTGATATTGACAATTTGCCTGGGCTACGTGATTCAGGCATGACTAACACTGTACATAAAGGCAGGCTAGATTGGACTAAGATTGAAAAAGATCGTAGGAATAATTATTACTATGATACTGATTTACTGCTTAAAGGTAATACAAAGTTTTGGTATTGGGTAATGAATTTGGTTCAAATGAACATATTGGAAGCATATGCAATCCTACAATATTCAGTGATCGTTGTCGCGGTTGAAATCGAGTTTAAAGTGATGAAATTGTAAAAAAATAAACTCTTTATGTTTTATAGCGCCCTCTCAAGGTCAAGATATTAATTTAGCGTTTCCCCTACCAAATCTGCAGTATTAGTCTTTACCAACAAACAAAAGAAAGATATTCTTCTACAAATAAAAGGACATAATCTGCCTATATGCGAGCAGTATAAGTTCCTTGGTGTGAGGTTTGACTCCAATTTAACTTGGTCTGTCCATATAGATTCTATCATTGATAAATGTAAGAAAAGAATAAACTTGCTACGTTGTGTCTCCGGCACCCCCTGGGGAAGTAAGTATGAGATTTTGATGATGATTTATAAAGGACTTATCCTATCCATTTTGGACTATGGGAGTGAAATGTATGATTCTGCTTAACAAAAAAACTTGACTCTATCCAATACAGAGCCTTAAAAATTATTACAGGCACAATACACAATGTGTCCTTGGAGGCTTTACAAGTTTTGACCGGGGAGCTGCCTCTGAGATATCGTAGAAGGTTGTTAAATGATAACTTTCGAGTTTATTTACTGTCTAGTACTTTAAACCACCCAACAAAAGAAGTATTGGGTGATGACTATGATTTAAATAACTTAGAATGGAAGATAGGAGAAGGACCTTTTAAACTGCGATCCTTTAGAGACGAAGTAGTGGTGGAAGGGCAAACCAACTTATTGCCGAAAATCCCAGAATGGCGGTTAGCACGACCACAAGTGTCTTTCGAACACCATGGCAAAGTGCAAAAAAAGGAAATGCCTCCATTTGAAATAAAATCGTTTGTTCTAGATAGCATTGGAAATTCATGGAATGGGTTTTTACATATATATACAGATGGTTCTAAACTCGAGGATGGGAAGACAGGAGCCGCATTTTATGTGTCTCATTATAATGTGGTGAAATTTTTTAGATTATCCCATGTCTGTATTATGAGAGCAGAACTAGTGGCCATACTAATGGCACTAGAGTGGATTAATACATTTATTGAATCCTCTTCGGTGGTAATTTTTAGCGACGCTTTGTCAGCTTTACAAATGATCGATTCATACTTTATTAGATGTGCTATTGTAAATGAAATTTTATCCATAATTAATATTTTGCAGTTTAAGGATGTTTGTGTTGCTTTTGAATGGATTCCGTCACATTGCGATATTAGGGGCAATGAGATCGTAGATCGGGCTGCCAAAAAAGGAGCCATGAAAAGGTGTATAGACATAGTTATACCAAATACAAGAAGTGAATTGGCAGCCTCTCGTTTGATCCATTATAACAAATTATGGCAAGCAGAATGGGACAATGCAGAACACGGTAGATTTTTATATGCTTTGCATAGCGACGTTTCAAAGCCCATACATAGACAAGGCCTATCTCGCAGAGAAGAATGCTTGATACAACAACTAAGAGTAGGTAACTGTAGTTTAAATTATTACCTTTTTCAAATTAACCAACACGATACTGGTCTTTGTGAAGTTTGTCAAGAAGATGAAACAATTAAACATTTTATTTTCTATTGTACAAAATACGACAAAGATAGACGTCTCTTAAAAGAAAGGATTAAATTGAACAACCCCAATCTGAAACAATTATTGATGTCTAACCCAATTTTTACTCGTGAATTATTGGGTTACATATACGATACTAATCGTTTTAGATAGCTTTTAAAGCTATCAGGGATCCCCTTAACTTATGTCGATCCTGTAATAATATATAAAATGAAGTATTTGCGGTTTTTCCATGAACAATTGCAACTAACTCCCATCTCGCCTTTTATGTGCATTTTATGCAATTTTAATATTGCAGCTTTTTTTTTTTTTTTAATTTATAAAACCATATCACTATTAATTTCATTTCACCAAGGAAAGTCTTCTTCTTCTTCTTAGTTGATCCCTCCACTGTTTTGGAGATTCCTGGAGTCCAAATAAATAAATGTGTATAATCCGACCAGTTAGGAGCTTTGGAGAGTCTTAGAACGAGAAGCATCAATTTTGTGTAGGAAAAAGAGCGATAGTAGAAGTAGGTTATTATGAATTTCGGAAGGCAAGCATGGATGCAGGGGTAACAGAGTAGTCGCTCGTGGGCTTGATTTCCGAAGCCCACGCCAAAGCTATACACGAAATTGACTGGCGCAAATAATCTTTGAGATTGAAGAGCGCCATCTAAACGAAGAACCAACCAACCAACGATACTGCAATGTTATTTGACTAAAATCGACCGATTTGCTATTACCGTTTGGAATATATATGTCAGATCTTTATATTCTGAGATTTTTATGGTCACAGCTACCATCGTCTCGCCGTACGCGATGATTCAAATTTATCAAAATTTACCGGGAGCACCGGTAAATTTTTATATTCAATTTTTCTCGAAAGCAGAAGAGTCTTAGGGGCTAAAAATGTTAGTGCTTGTAATACATCCATAGGGGCATCTAAATATATCAAAATTGTAAAGAATCACTATCCAGCCAATTTTAAAAAATTTCCAAAACTTTGTAATACCTTTAAAGGAATTTATGTGCATGAAGACGATGCTCTTTTATGCCGAGATTCCAATTGTGTGAACAAAGACCATGCTAATTATTTATGTAATGCATATAATGAAATTGTGAAATGCTTATGTGATGCTAGTGAATCTCTATATCAATGTAAAAACAAAGTTCATAATACTAGGCCTGGCTGGAATGAGCATGTGTCAGAGCTCCACTCTGCTGCTCGTGAGGCTCACCTACTCTGGGTTGAAGCTGGCAAAAACAGACAGGGACGGTTATTTGAACTAAAGAAGAGAGCCAATGCACGATTCAAGTATGCTCTCCGTTTTATAAAGAATAATGAGAATGTTATGCGGGCGGACTCAGTTGCTCGTAAATTGCAGGGTAAAAGTTATTATGAGTTTTGGAAAGAATTTAAATGTGTTAATAATAGTAAAGCGCCTCTTCCAACTAATATTGAAGGTATCTCTGTTGATGAAAAAAATAAGTGAATTGTGGTGTAATCATTATAAGGATTTGTTTAATTGTGTACAGAGTGCGGTGCAGGATGTTACTAATGTTGACTTTGATGTAAATATGGTTATCTCTCCAGAGGAGGTTAAAGAAGCTATCAGAAAATTAGACAGCAATAAGTCATGTGGTCTTGATACTATTACAGCTGAACATCTAAAGTTTGCAAGCCCGAAACTCATCCCGTTGCTTGCAATGTGCATGTCGGGCTTTTTGATTCATGGTATCTTACCAGATAGTATATGATTTCCGTTGTTTTGGTGCCAGTCATTAAAAATAAAGCTGGTCGCATTACTAGTAAGGACAACTATAGACCTATAGCATTGGCAAGTGTCCTGTCCAAAGTGCTGGAAAAGATATTGCTTGGTAGGTTAGAGATGTATATTCTTACCAAAGATAACCAGTTCGGTTTTAAAGCCAAACATGGCACTGACATGTGTATATTTGCTCTGAAGGAAATCATTGAGAGTTATCGTAGCAAAAATTCTTCCTTGTTTCGTTGTTTTCTTGATGCTTCAAAAGCTTTTGATCGGATAAATCATGAAAAGCTGTTTACGAAAATGGCTGATAGAGGTATTCCTAAGTACCTGATTAGGATACTCGTGTTTTGGTATGCCCATCAAACAATGATGGCTAGATGGGGAAGTAGTGTCTCTGAACCCGGCATTCCATGTCAGTTAGACAAGGTGGTATTCTTTCTCCCTTTCTCTTTAACCTGTACATGGATGGTCTATCTGACGATCTGAATGCTTGTAAAAAAGGCTGTGTAGTTGGTGGTATGGTAGTCAATCATTTAATGTATGCAGATGATCTCGTTATTATTAGCCCATCAACTGCTGGGTTGCAGAGTCTGCTCAAGATTTGTTCTCATTATGGATATGATAATGATGTGAATATAATGCAAAAAAGAGTCATGTTATGATAATTAGATGTAAGGAACACCGTAGATTGGTATTCCCGGATTTTTATTTGTGTGGAGCTAAACTCAATGTCTGTACAGAGGCCATGTATCTTGGTCATTTCTTTACTGAGGATCTCAGTGATGATAAAGATATTAGTAGACAGTGTCGTAAATTATATGCTCAAGGTAATATGCTTGTTAGGAAATTTCATATGTGTTCTCCGGATGTGAAGGTGGCTTTATTTAGGGCATACTGTACACCTCTATACACTGCGCATCTGTGGTGTAATTTTAAGAAGAGCAGTTTGTACAGGCTTACTGTTGCCTATAATGATGCCATGAGAATGCTTCTTAGGGTACCTAGATACTTTAGTGCTAGTCAAATGTTTGCTGAGTTGAATGTTCCAGCCTGTTCGGCTGTATTACGAAATCTTATGTATAAGTTCATCCAGAGAGTGGATGTGTCTGAGAATGGTATTTTAAAGATGTTAGTGAACCCCTCGTATAGTTGTTTTAGGTACACATCGGGCCTCTGGAGATTTTGGCTGAATAGCCTGCTGACACATGGCAATTGACCATTATGTTCCTGTTACCAAGGATTCCAGTATCCTTGTTTGTTTTTTATAATAGTTATTTATTATAAGTTTATCGTTCTGGTTAGTTGAACAGAGACAGATTGTTACAAGATACAACTTCAATAGATTGTTATTGATTGTTATACATGTACTTATTTTAATCTTACAGTTACAGGTACAGCTTAGAGTTAGTTTATTATGTGTTTTTTTTTTATCAACCTTGCAGGTTACATGTTACTCTTAGAGTTTAGATTGTTTGTACGTACTGTAGACCTAGTATAGTTTAGTTATACTCTTTGTATAGTTTTGTTGTTATTATACTCATCATGTTTATACTCCCTATATATCTATGTAACATATGTTTTATGGACCTCTGCCTTTTGTAGTTGAGTCTGAAATAAAGTTCTGAATTGAATTGAATTGAATACAGCCTTTTAGTACGTAACGTATAGTGAATGGGAATGGGCGATGATCCGTTCAGGAGGTAGAGGTCAGTGGTTTGTGCTGGCAATGTTCACGCGAGCGAAAATGAGACAATCGGAGCAATATGCTATTTCTCTTTAAAATACTTTGTCAAAGAAGTGTGGGGGGGGGGGGGGGGTCCCGCCGTTCCGCGGCGCTGACAAGTCATGTAGGCATCTCAAGAAGCACATTTCTCGCCTGGCTGTAAATTTAGGAATTTGTCATTTTACAACAAACGCATACAAATGTATAATTTACTAAAAAATGAGGAAAAATTTCGGAAAATTATGTCTTTTCAGCATTATGTGTAAACCACCGTAACGGTTATGGAATCAGAAATAAACCCCCTCCCCGATCAGTACGCCAATGCCCCGCCCCCTCCCCCCCCCCCCCCCGCGATCTACACTTTGTTGACGGAAAAAATCGCAACTGATCTCCCCTACCTTCCTTCTTTCTCTTTTTTTTTTCTTTCCCTTTCTCTCCACATTTTGTTTTGGCTCCGCAAATTGCAAAAATTACGGCGTCAGATATTTCGTTCTGTGGCTTGGGGGGGGGGGAGGGAGGGGAAGGAACACTTTTTTTTCAAAAAAAAAAAATCTTACCCCCTTTTTTTCCTTCTTTTTTTTCTCCTTCGGCTAGCCAATCATTCGAGGGCGAGCGCATATATACGCATGTGCAGACTAGCTGAGCTGATATAAGCCAGCAAAAGCGAAAAAAGAGAAGCCGAGAATGTTGTTACGTGACATCCTCCCCCCTCCCCCCCCCCCCCCCCCTGGATCTGCCACTGCCCTGGCCCCCAAAATAAGTTTACCAAAAAAGTGGTAACGTTCATTTACCTTTTAAAAAAAGAAGAAAGAAGACGGGGCCCCTTCCCTATCAATTTTTGTTAAGCTCAGGGGGGGGGGGGGGGTTGTTGTTGAGTAAAATTTGAGTAAAAAAAGCTCCAAAAAAAGCGGTGTCAGTGTTTCACTGATGACAACTTCAAACATTCATAACTTGCCTTTTTAATGGGATATTGCTGAAACTGTCATTAATTTGTTTCCCTCATCTTTCTGCTTATTTCAAAACCAACTTGATGTAAAGGTAGGTTCCCCCGGGGGTTTCCCCTTTATTGTATAGAGGTCGGTTTACCCTTCAAGTTCTTCAAAGTTTGAGCTTTGTGTGTACATGACCTGCGCGCCCGTCGACGTATAGCTCGGCTAGCTACTGTGTATAGGTCAGTGGTTACTAGTCTAGCTAGTCGATCAAGGGCGCGGCGCGGCGAGCGCACATATACGCATGCGCAGACTAGCTGAGCTGAGCTAGCTGAGATAGCAAAAGCGAAAAAAAAAAGGCTGAGAACGTACAGTACAGTAGTTACGTGACATCTCAGCTCAAGGAAATCTCATTTGTATGTGTATTCTTCTCATTTGGAAAATCAAACCGTGGAACGTAAGTTGTAAAAGGTGTTGGTTATACCGCCATTCTTTGTCAAACGTGTTTTCTAAAAACTCCCATGTACGTCTCTGTGAGTTAATATTCACGGTTTCACCATATCTTCGTTATGTCTTCGTCGTATCTTGCACTCTCCTCTCTACTCCAGTCATGGGGCCTGGCCTGGCTGGAGTTACATCACACGTACGTAGCCAAATGTTGATTTTGTTGCTGACTAGATCTAGAGACAAAGTAAATCCAGACTTTGTTGTGTATCTGGACAGTTGATTGCAGTAATTTGAAGAAGTTTACAAGCAATATTTCATAATCTTCTAAGACCTACAAATACAGGACAAATAGTTGATTGAAATTTGAAGGATTTTATTGATTATACATGTAGATCTAGACCTTCTAGATTCTCCCAGTCCAAGGATAGGACTGCATGAATTAAAATGGCTACAACTGCATCATACTAGGCTTAGATCCTAGGGCCTACACGATAAAAGCAATTAGTCTATAGGCTTCTAGATCTACAATAATTATTAAAACAGTCTAAGCAATTAACATTAACATTTTAATAAAAGTGATCAAATGGCAATAATAATTAATGGCAACTATCGTTAGGGTCTAATTTTTCGATTAATAATATTAATAAGCAATGAAGATAAAAGTTGAGTTCTGGTCGTGCGATTGCATTGTGAAAGAAACGTTGTGGAATCGATCAGAAAAGGTTGATCATCAAGCATATTTTTGGTGTGTAGGTCTACTGCAAGGTTCTGGAATCATCAAAATGATCAGAAATTTGGCCCAGTCTTGGTAAAGTTACAAGCTCTGTACAAAGATGTATAGAATCTAGAGGTCTAGATGGGGCTACATGAACATGTGGCATAAAAATCTGTCCCAATTTTTATGATGTTGCATGCCATATTTAGAATATGAAAAAATATGAAGAGCCATGTTTTTTAGGGAACATTTTTTTTCTCTGATGTTCTTCCATACTTGCATAAAACAATGATAACGCCCACAAATTATTTTTCACCCCTTCCCAGAACTCGACCTTCTCTTTAACTGAAACATTATAATGGTTGGTGCTATTTCATTAATTTCTTTGTTACTAAATCTGAAGAAAAATGAGAAGGCTTTATTTTGAATTGGGATTTTTCCGGATGCACAACCCATCATTCATGTACATGTACATGTAGTAATTTGAAGTTATTTCACCTCGAATAAAATCTAGATCTACAAATATTCATAATGTATCAGGTCTAACTAGACGTTAAATACAGAAAGGTTTTTATTTTTTGGCAAACCTCACTTTATCATTGCCCAGCATGCTCAGTGACCTCAGAACTACCTTGGCACATTCTGTGTCACATTGTCCATATTTGCCGGGTGCTCTAGAGCACTCCAGCAAAGCATAGAGAGTCAATGCTAATGCGCATTGACCTCTAGCACTGCATATTTGCTGTGAGGCAGGTATTATTAGACCTATACACAAATATACACACCACACAATATTGCATAGACTGCATACAATCATGCCGATGCGGCTTTAAGCAAAGTTTGACAGTCGACTTATAATTTGAATTTTTTAATTATTCTTTTTAACATCAGTAAGTTGAGCCATTGTGTTTTCTTCCCCTTAGGCCCCAAGAAACAAAAACATGTTTAGCATCCTGCTTTTTTGAAAAATATGAAGGAGGAGGCCCTTTTTTGTTTTTGTTCAAAATGGCCGCTCAAAATGGCAGCTCGTTACATTTTCGCTGACAGTCAGGCTATTTTTCAGGATGGCCGCCTACATATATTTTTTTTTCTTTTTAATAATCAGAAATAGATCCATTTTAGCAGTGTTTTTCATGTTTTGTTTTTAAAAAAAAGAAAATTCAAAAAAATAAATAAAAATAAACAAAATAGGAGGCGGCTCCCATAAAGGAAGCAGGCGGGGACGCTAAACATGTATATTTTTTTGAATGGCCTTATCTGCCAATACTATAGAGGTCCTTCCTCCCTTATACTAATGTGTATCTCCAGGTTGACGTTGTTAACATAGATTTACCTCTCGGGCTCTCAGGATGGGACCTAAATTATTTTCTACCTCTCATTTGTTAATAGTTCACTGGTGGAGGAATAAACTGCACAGCATTTTAGTATTGCTAACTGTGTATCATCCAAAATGAAAGAAATATGATGATATAGTCAATTTTTGCACTCACGCAAACAATGCCTCCTGGGGGGTGTTTCATGAAGAGTTTGTAAACCCCCCCTGTTCATCCAAGCATGAACAAATACAGTGTACCACACAAAAATGATACTAAATGATTTGGGATAAAACACTCTTTCATAAGATGTATAATAATTTACTGTTCATACAGTAGATGATTTTTAAAATAATAAGCAATGTTCTAGGTGTAAACTTTTTTTGCCTCGCACTGTATAGCTACATGTACTGTACATGTATGTGACCACATTTACAGACTAGATCTATCAAGTTGAAGTACATTGTATGTGTTTGCACACTCAGATGAGCTGTTGAGTCATACTTCTGGCCAAGTTTCGTTAATGATTGCTGAAGGTAAAGGTTTCTACATGTAGATTCTAGAGCTAAAGATAATCTACCAGTTAAAGCCCCACTGCACTACATGTACAATGTACCCCTGTACTTGTAGCTAAGTGCTCCCTCTATAGAAAACAATGTCTAAACGGTGCCCGTTGTTCCCCCATGATCATCTTTTTTAATGTTAATTTGAGAGCTGCTAGCCACCTGTCAGTGACCATGCTGGGTGGTCTAATCCCTCCTGGCCAAACTAGTACAAATGGGCTTTAAATTTTATTAAACCTAGTTACATGTACAGTATATATCACCCTCACCCTTGGGAGAAAAATACTCATTGACTCTGTTGTCAGTCCAAAATCTTGGCCCCCCCCCCCCCCTTCCCCACCCATCAATCAGTGTTTTGCACCCTTTTTCTAGTGACTCTAACATTGTTGAAGGTTGATGAAAAAACTGCTTAATTTTGTATGAAATGTTACTTTCTATATTCCTTCTACTGTACTTACCCTCTAACAGGCGAAAATTCTCAAACCACAAAGATATTTATGGTTTTCTTTGAAGGCGCAACAACCTCCCAACCGTTTTTCCTTGAAAATAAGTCATAAGACAGGCTTTTAAAAATCCGTCAACACTGAAATGTCTGTAATGGTATGTTCATGTAGAGCCAATTCATTGCTTTGTGACAATTTGCATTCACCTAAAATTTAATTAAATTGTAATAATATAGTTCGAGAATTAAGGAATCGATCAGATCAGTTTTTCCCAATTTTGATCATTAATAATGGTCCGTTTTCACTCAAACTTTCAGATTATCTTTGATTATACATTGAATGCACTACCTTAGCACCGAAAATTGCCCTTCAAAATGATCAAGAAGTGCCTCAAAAAAGTAAAGTCTTACCGATAGGAAAACGCAAAATTTGATTTTGTTTTCCAATCCTAAATATCTTGATAATCAGCTAGTAAAAGTCATGGGGTTCCTGACTGGCCTAAAGGTTTATAATAAGATTGCAGCATGAGCTAAATTCAGGATTTTGTTTCAGAATCCGAGACAAAGTTAGCGGATCCCTTTAATTAACACAGTGATGATCAATCTGCATACATACTGCCAAACAATGTTGTATGCCGATTCATGTCTTTCTGTTTGTTGGTTTTCACTGAAGCTGTTTATAAGTACTTTTGGTTTCAAACCGTTATAAACATGTATGTAATGACCCGTGACTCTCAAGTCCAATGCCTATTTAAAGGTGGTTTGTTTTGTAAATTGAAGAGGTGTTCAAGCTACTAAAAAAGTAGAAAGGAAGGCAACAATAACAATGGCCATTCCGCTTCACATGCTACTGTGCTGATCCGAATCGCACTGAAATGAGCAAAATGGCCTTGGCCTTTTGTTAGCATTGCATTGTAATAAACCATGGACCCAGTCGCCTAACACTTTATGAATGAAACCAAGAATAATTTGAGTGGTGCATACATGATGTACTTGTGCACAAGTGTCAATCGTCTGTCAATTGTAAAAGGTGATTGAATATAAATATAGGTCGCACTCAGGAACTTTTAAAATCCCTGCGGGTATATTGTCTAGTGAAAAATCAAGGTAACTGTGGTGATGATTTGATTGACTTATTGACAATAAGTAGATTCACAATGAACGTCGCCCTCTAGCACCCTCTAAGGACACCAGTTGTTCGTCGATTTCACATGATGCATTACAGGAAAAAGTTTGTTTGTAATATTAGCTGTGGCGTTTGTTAAATACCCTAGGACAGGGGTTCTCAAACTTATTCTTGGATAAAAATATATAAAACTTGATATCAATAACACGTTACAAGCTACTGTTATAAGCTACTGAAATCATGGCATCTGATTGGCCGAGAACAAATTTGTCTTAGAAATTTAGCATTTGTTATAGATAACAAGTTTTATAAAACAGGCCCCGATTGTGATTGCCCATGTACATGTAAGATAAAAGGTCCGAAACATGTGATGCCATTTGCCCGAAAAAAATTGGTTTAGTATAAGTATACAATTTTACATTAACAAATGCTCGCTGGAAAGTCGGGCATGACTCAAACAGTACTCAATTGTGTTTCAGACTCAGAAAATCTGATCCTTCAATTTACAGTTCCATGTATTAATGACATTTGAATACTGAAGAAAATGAGGCTTGTTTTAGGGTCTTTAATTAATCTATTAAAGGGAATTGCTAAAGTTTTAAAAAGCAGAGGCTCTCGGGCCAGTGCTTTCACTCATTAAATTTGATTCACCTGAAATAGGTGGTATTTTCTTTAAACTTTCAAAATGCCTCTTGCGTGCCATATGTTTTGTTTTGATGAATTGGTAGGGAGAGCAACATCATACGACTAATGGCACAATACCAGATTGTCAACTTTAAAGTTGTGAGTGACTGAGCATGGAAAAATTTCTATTTAATTCAGAGGAAATGGGTAAAAGTTTTAAAACTATA